TACGTCCATATTTATCGAATCTATAATTGTTATTAAGTTTTGGTACAATTGCTGAGGAATTAAATCTTTTAGCAGCAGTATTAAATACTTATATTTTTAAGCATATATAAAGTCGCGGTCAATAGCCCCCACACAACAACCACAACTACACCAACCACTTACACAAAGAACCACAACCTCCACGCACAACCATAAGCCACACAAAACCAACACAACCACATGACCATAAACCACAACCACAACCTTCACACACAACCACAACCACAACCACCAGCAATCCACCACCATTAGCACCAACACTGAACAAAATTTCACAATAACCACCACTAACGATCCATTACTAAAATTTGGCCAACTTAACAACAATCCACTACCACTAAAAAATCAGTCAAACCACCATTAACCACCATAACTAATCCATAACACAAGTATTCCTCTCACCAAATTCATAGAACAAACCATCACCACATCACCCAACAAATGAAATCACAAAAAATCAAAATCAGAGAACGTCTGAAATCGCATAAATTGCAAAATCCCAAGACAGTGCACAACCACCTGAAAATTATTGACTAAATACCTTATCTGGTGATATAAAGCAGTTTTTTGGGAATTAACTACGCCAACCCTCATTTGAAATAAAGAATAAACCCAATACCTTATCTGTATAAGTGCACAATGTTCTAAAAGTGACAAATGAGAAGAGTTTGATGAAAAATTAGAACTGAAGATTGATTATAAACGGGTCAAATCAAACTCCAACCAAAAGACTATCACTAATAGTTATCACAAATCAACCCAGATATGTTTCACTTAGCAAATATCATGGCGTGACACCCAAACAAAGTGTCCAAAAACCTGTTGTTGAAAGGTCCCGATGAAAAGTCAACATATATGGAGGTCAATGCCCCATGAGAAAGAACAATTTGTTGAAATTAGAGAAGACATGACATATGGTGTGCCCTCTTACAGATTCGTCGTCCATAAGGAATTAGTAGTGACAAAGAAACCTCAGCTTGATGAATATCGTAGTGATCAACAATAAATCACATCATAAATCAACTCGTAATGAAAAAATCCATCTCCATCAAAGCCCTCTAATTGAGGAATTATACGTCTTGCACTTTGAACCTGAAATTTATTGGAAGTAACACTCGAACATTAGAGTGTAAAAAGAAGAAAATAATGAAGACACTATGAAAGCAGAGATTCTCTATAGAATAAATAATACCAATGATCAATCAGACACTCGATTCTACTAGTCTAGACAATGCACACTTCAATCTACTAATCAAATAAAAAGATAAGAAAAACATGTTAATTCTTCATTAGAAGATGCACTAGTAGAATAATCAAGAGGTGAAAAATAATATGTTTTCATTGACACAGTTGCTTCAGTCGTAGAAAAAAAATAAATGTAACATTTGATTAAGGTTAAAGACAAAAATATCCCTCAGTTAACACCAAAATGAATGAGATGAGGGTGCAAATAAATATTATGATGGAGATATTGCAAAACTATCATAGAAGACACAGTCCCTATTTCGCTTGTCAATAATCAAACATCTACTAGTATTCTCAACAAATCACACATGAACTCAATACCTCAAGCATTTGGAGTATATGATGTTTCTAAGGAAGAACTCGATTAATCCTTATAATAACACAACCAACTTCTTAACATGGTCCAAGTGATGATGAATGCGTAACAACTGCTTAGTTAGAAAACATCATCAATGAAAAGATCAAAGTTGTTATAACTTAAGAATATATTGATAAGCTGAATAACATACATACCACTCAGTTCTTATAGATTAACTTATTTAGCCCCTAAAGTTCAAATTACAAATTCAACTTATATATAGGAGATAATGGTATGTATGTAATTGTTCTAAGAACAAATCTTATCATCAAAAAGTAACTTGAAAAATGTTTATTCAAAATCATCATCTAAATACAAATTAAATTAAAATAATCCACAAATACAAAATTTATCACATCTACTAGCTAGTGATTCCAAAAACAGGTTTTAGTCAAACTATGCTTCAATGTTCTTCCAACTAGAATCTTCTTTCAATCTCTATAAAATTTTGGAATTAAATCATATAAGCATGTTACAACAGTTATATGAACATGTCGAGATTCAATTTGGCTCGACCTTGCCAATTACTGCAATATTTGCACTTCAAATATTCATTAATCAAATATATCATAAGGAAAATCAAAGATAATTGATACATGAGTGTTCTGTTATAATAGTTTTTAGCCCGTTTCATGATCTCACCAAACAATATGAACCATTCCGAATAAATAAAGTTGTAGTTACAATATGAAAGTGGCAACCACCACAACACTTATCAAACTCTAATAATTTGAAATGACATTTAATCCTCTAGTCAAACATATGCTAACAATAAACTATGAAAAGCTTAATAAAACTATTTTCTGGACTACAACGAACATGTTTCAAATGTTTGGCTTATCATAAACCATAACGCATCAAAGGTAATAATCACTAAAAGAAACTACTTCCATAAGAATTACTTCACAAAATTATAACTTTCATAAATAAAAATATTCATTTATGGAATAACCAACATCTACAAAATGTAATTTACATCAGTCACTTACAAAAATATTCATTTATGGTACAAACATTATGAATAAACAAGATAACTAGAACAATCACAAACTTAGGACTACAATACTACATACTTAATTTTACAAAAGTTCATACTCCAAAATATTTTGACATCTTCACAACTCATTAACTTCAACAATAACATTGGTGTCTCCATAAATATAATGTAATAAATGTGACCATAACATTGATCGAAATCAATATATTGATAATAAATTTCAAATCATTAAAGTTTTATTGTTGACACTTTTGCAATACTGTCATCAAATTTAACATCATTCATTTCATTTATTCATTTAAATACTTATAATTGTTCTCCGATCAATTTTTTATACAACGATAGAATTCTCCTTCATAACTTGTATCTTTATAGGATGTATACACTGCACAAAACAAGTTCAAGTTACAATAATCTCTTTGATTAGTGATTTCTTGTGAAATCGATGAATGACTTGAGCTCATACTCCTTATATCTTGTTATAAAAGAGAAAGGAATTGTAAATAAATTATTTGTATAATATATATGTGTGTGTGTGTGTGTGTGTGTGTGTGTAAAGACTTAAAATAAATTTTCATGTATAATAATAACACCAGAATTACATGCTTCCTAAACCACACTTTTTTTCCAATACATGCCCACATTCCCATATAGGCCTCTTCCTTATACAATAGAAATTGTATTTCAGTTTCTAAAAGTTTAAAAAATAGTCTTTTGGATAAAATGTGAAGATTTGGGCTGTATGAAACTAAAAATTAAAGCTTAGCGTTAGATATATTGATGCTTAAAATTTGGGTGGTATACAGGTGAAAACCCCGTTAAAAGACATTGTTGTGGCCTTCAAGAAAACAATAGTAGGGTTTACTTGGCGAGTTCTCGAATAGGGAGTGAGTGATAGAGAGGGCGTTCGTAAGATATGTGAGCGAGTGAGAATTCTCGAAAGATCCTTAAAGCAAAGCAATCATAATCATCAGTGCTTACTATATGAATGGGCATTGGTAAAGGAGTGCGAGAGATGATTTAACACAAATTTTTCTAGAATATCCTTATCGTGACACTGCAGTCTCATATCTTAACAATTATTCAGTTTAGTGGACAAGACATAAAGGGCAATTGTGGTCATTTAGCGCAGTGTGGTCTCTGCTCCAAATTTCATACTATTTTTTACTTTTCAATGTAAATGTTAAGGTACTTTTCAATGTAAATGTTAAGGAGGTAGAAAGTGAATCCCCTTGCTTTAGGAGTTCTTTGGTTGGATGTTTCAATGCATAAATTATAGAATCACATAGTAATTATAATGTATAATTTTATAAATCTAAGAGTTGTTTGGTTGTATTTAAATCAAATGAATTGAAATATTTATGTTTGGTGGGCTTAGGATATGTTTATAATGTAAAATTCTGTGTTATTTTCCTCTCTCTCTCTCTCTCTGAATTTAGAAGAGAGATGAGAGGGCATAGAGGCAAAATTGAAAGGGTTTGAGCCAGGTGCTACAGTAAGAGCAAGTGCACGGAGGAGGAAAACGACCAGCAATGAGAGCTACAGAGAGGAAATTCAAGTTGTGAAATGAGGGAGAGCTGTTGTGAAACCTTTGCCTAAAAAATAACCATAAGGAAGAAGATTTGTGAGGGGGAGTTCGACGACTTGTTGGCAGCAGACTTGAAGGGAGACGGCAGAGATCGGGGAGCAAATGCGAGAGGAGAAAGATGGGAGTTTGGGGATTAGACACGTAAATCCATGCCAAGCTGATCCGTAATGAGAAAAAGAGGTGGCGAAGTGGGATCGTGTTTTCTCTTCCTTAACAAAAGGGTGGGAGAAGAGGATTTTGGGGTCGTGACGGAAGGGAGATAAATGTTTGACATTGAAGAAATTAGTGGTATGCAAGCAAATATAAAGATTTATGTGTTGCACATGCAAATCTTAAAGATTTGCGTGGCACACAAGTAAAACCCCTTAAATGTTTTGGGTGCCAGTAATGTAAATAGTGAAGTTTGGATGTGAGATAATGTAATTGTATTAATTTCGAATGTTGTGAATGCAAATCTCCCTTGAAATTATAAATAACATCTCATTGCCTACCTCAAACTCTTTTCGAATCAATCTATTTTATACATGCCAGCAGCCATAACATAACAAGTGCCGCCACAAAATTTTAATTTCAGTACAAAAGCGCAAGTAAATTGAAACAATTCGATGCATCACCTTGCACCAAATTTTCCAAGGGGTCCAAAGACCCCATTTTTATTCAAACAATCCGACTATATATCCACAAAACATTTACATCCATTAGCTACCTGACAGGCAACTGATTAGCATTAACGAAAGAATTGAGGACGCTCTCGCGAATTTTTTTTTTTTAAAAAAAAAGTAACAACACTGCCGATCGACGTAGCTGTATCCGAATCATCTTCCCCTACAACCAGGGCAGATCAAACGCGTCTTCGAAGCTAGCAGCTGCGCCGAGGATGGAAGATCCGCAACACGAGCACAGGAACAGTGGCGGCACTGGCTGGTCATCAGATATGCCGATGCAGCGCGTGTGATGCCACACATCGCAGCTATCACACGCCACCATCCGTTCCCCATCATCATCCCGAGCGCCGCACGAGCAGCCCACCGCCCAAGAATCCGCTCCACCCTCGTACCGAAGCTCGCATTCCAAATCCACCCCCTCCCCGCTCACATTAATGACCGAACCCGATTCAGCACCACCAACCATCACCGGATCCCATTCCTCACCTTCCACCCCGTCCAACCTCCGCAAACTGAATCCCTCCATCATGCAATAGGTTTCCCTCGTAGCTTTCTCCGCTTCCCTTCGCAAATCCCCAATCGATGCGTGTGCCTCAACTACCACAACCTCCGGTGGCATAAGGGGCCGCGTGAGCTTCTTCATCTCCCTCGCGCTCGGCATCCACTGGACCATAAATCTAAGCCGGTCGTCGTTGTCGTCCACTAGCGGGAATATTTTGATCCAATGCTTACCATCCAGAACGGCCCGCGCAGCTTCCGGCTTAGACGACACCAGGGCCTGACAAACCACCTCCAGTTCTCGCTTGACATGCCCCGCACCCAACAATGCCGTCATCGGTGATTCCTCCACCCCTCCACCGGCGTCGGAAATTTCCTCTAAGCGGAACTCAAGCACGCGGGTGGTCGGGTTGGAAGTTCGGCGCACGACGTGGCGGCCGACGATACAGTTGCCGAGCGATTTCAGTACGAAATCGAGGAGTCCTGTGTCGCCAATGGTGAGGCGCGCGGCATCGCGGACTTCCTGTCGTGTCATCCAGCCGTGTTCCAGTAGGACATCCACAATCACCTCCGCGGCTACGCGAAGCCTCCTGACAGGCCACCGGCTCTCTAGATCTGCAGCCACCGTGTCAAAATCTCGGCATCGCTTCCGCTTTTCCACTGCAGCTGATCTTTTTGTCTGCTGTCTGGATAGCGACGGCGGCGGCGGCGGCGGAGGAGGAGGAGGAGGATTGTGGGGTGGCATGGCCGGCTGGTTTTTGAGGCTGAGGAGGTACCGTAGAAGATCTCGTACATTGGCTGGCCCTGCAAAGGGCTCAAACTGGTTGGACCAGCGAAGCCTGTTGTGGACGGCGATGATTCGGCTGACTTCCGAGCTACAACCGACAAGCTTGTCCAGTGGGAGAGACGAGAGCTGTTCCAGCCCCTGGGAGTAAGCTTCCTCTGTCACGCCAAAGCTTCCCATTCGGTACCGGTAGGCCCAGCGGCTGAACCAGGGGGAGCCATATGCAACTCCGAGAAGAAGCCTGAGGTCGATTGATTTCTTTCGAGCTGTGTCCACCACCGTCACCTCCCTGCACCAGAATCAGAACAAGTAATTAATTGGCAGATCGATGCATTGGGGAGAGAAAGTAACTGTAAGTTTGGTAGAAATACATACCGGACGCGGAGGGAAGTGCAGAGGCGATCCCAAAGGTCCATGAATTGGTGGCCGGAGATGAACTTTGAGCCTCCTTCACGGCCGTTGATGCAGAGGAGATGGCCGAAGCCGTTACAGTGAAGGAGGCCGTGGAGGAGGTGGTTATGGAGAAGACAGGCGTCTTTGTGCAGGGGCTTATCCCAGTCGTCGTCGGCGGGAATTATCATGTGATACCTCCTCCTTGACACCAAATGATGACTCCAACCTATCAATTAAAACGTAAACCATTTTTAAACTGCAAACAGAAGACCACATTATGTTTAAAATCGCTACACCAATGGCTACAAGAAAACTAAAAAAATACTAGAAGGGGTCGTCGATGGTCAATCGAAGTCCATCTAGTCAAACAGCTGCTGTCTGAACAGTTTCTCGACCGTCTGATGATCTTCCACTCCACCAGGCACGGATCTTGGTACAAAGAAAATGCATCAAGAGTCGTGCGTGTAGCTAGACCCCAAACCATGGTCACTAAAACAAGAAAAGCTCTGCAGATTTTAGAAGAAAGATCCCCCGCCTTTAGCTCGTTGCAGAATTACAGAGCTAAACTCATCTGAGTGGAGCAAGAAGCATCGGAAGAACACGAGACACATAATTTGGGAATGGCGACCACGGAAAGCTTTCGATTACGGAAAGATGGAAAAACCCCATTGCCGGAAGATTTAAGAAGAGGGCTGTAAACTAACCGCAACAGCGACAATAGTCGCAGAAAGGATTGGACGAGCGGCGAACGAGCTCTTCCACCGTGTACAGGGGGATCAAGACGCCGGTCTTCTCGTCAACAAGAAGCGTGCACCA